TTTATTTATTTTTTCTTCTTTTTTTTCTTTAATGGCAAATTCAAACACAAAATTGTAGGAGCAAAAGCAAAAAAAAAAGAAAAAAAGAAATCAATCAATTAATAATCCCACATTTACTTATGTTAGCTGTCTGTTTATCTGTCTTTGCTCCTCATCGCCAAAACAAATTACTCATACATGTCAAACTGGATAGAAAGCATTTTCTGGATGGAACAAAAGTATTTTTCTCATTTTCTTTTCATTTGATCTTTCGACTAAGACACAAAATCCCGATTGGCCTCCATGCCAACCTGTCTGAGGGCAGCCCTGTGTGTCAGAACCTCCAGCAGGTTTCCACTCTCATTAATCCTCGGGGCTTCTTCCATGGAAAGATGGGTTTTCGTCAAGCCTTGGAGAGAGGCCAGCTCAGCATGAAGCAGGTACCACCAAAAAGACCTCATATATTGTTTTTTTATTGCAATGTAACTGCTTTTCTTTTTTATTTATACTTTGCACAGATAAATGAATGGAATAAAATGCTGTAGAACTTTAGAAATGGCCCTGAACCAGCCCCATCTGTGGCCGAGAACAAACTGTTGCAAAGAAATACAGCGTTATATTTCAGCTACATAAAATCTTTCCTATACTTATTTTCTTCCGATTATCCGCTGCAGTAAAGAATAGAAAGCGTACGGTGGGTCTTCCATGAGGAAGGCGCCTGAAGCTGTTTTGATTGCTCTCACCTGCAGGACGTCTGTGTGCAGGCGGTCACCGCTTGTTAGCGTTCTGATGGCGCAAAAAAAATCCTGTTAGGATGGTTTTGTGTCTTTGCTAGTTATAACTAAGACCGGTATTGTTAAGAGGTTTGCAATATTCTTAATTTTGTCCACGGCTGCATCAGGCAGGCGCTGCTGTAGCAGAGGTAAATAAAAACAGAAAAACCCTGCTGTACAGTCTCAGCAGCCTAAAGGTATTGTGGAGGATTTTTTAAAAGACCCGCCCTCTCCACTTTAAAAAAATGCGCGTGCAAGAGCATGCATGAGCCCATTTCTCCTTGTGACTCATTCAAGCTTACTGTGTCCACATAAATTGGGGACTATATAGTGGACTTTAAAGTGAACTCAGTTAACCGACCGTTCCATAAAAATTCAAAAAATATCCACTGGACTTGGTTCCAAGATTTGAAGACGTTTCTCCGCCTCTCCAGGAAGCTTTCTCAAATCAAATGTCTGGATCCGCAGTGAGTTTGAGTCTTATATAGACAAAGCCTTGTATCGCTTGGAAATGCTAACGATGGAACCAAACGACCCATTCATCAGTTACCATTTGCATGTTTCCAAGCAATACAAGGCCTCGTCTATATAAGACTAAAACTCACTGCGGATCCAGACATTTGAATTGAGAAAGCTTCCTGGAGAGGTGGAGAAACGTCTTCAAATCTTGGAACCAAGTCCAGTGGATATTTTTTGAATTTTTACAGAATGACTATGACCTGGATGACTGAGAATCTCCATCAGCATATTTAACTGACCGTTCAGACAGATGATCACTGCTTTTTGCTCCATTGGTCACATAACTCCTCCTCCACTGCGTGGTGCCTGTGCCATCTTTGTTATTAGTCGTCGCTGTCGGGTAGCGGTAGCCTATGGTGAAAGCAGGCCGCTGTGACAGTGAATGCCATAAGGCTTTGCGAACAGAGCTCTCTGTGCAAAGCATTGTGGGATATATCTGCCTCTTCTGAGCCTTTCTTTTCTTCTCATGCACTTCATAGACACTTTTTCTCTTACGACCCTCGGCCATTTTCAAAGAACCGCGGGGAGAAAGGTGACCTTCAAAGACTGTCTGAAACCGTAGCTCACCACAGATACACGCCTGAAAGTGCGCAGAAAAAGATCGCTAACGGGGCAAGCACGTAGGACGCCCTTACGTAAACATATCACCAGAATGATTGACAATTAGGAGGACCGCTTATTTAGATGATCCACCCGGAAATAAAAGATTGTCCTCTATACCTTTAAGAGAAAATTTGACCATAAGAGTTTGTGCTTAGATCCAAACATTTCAAGCAACAAGCAGAAATCTATAAATGGATCAAATCCAAATCGAGTGGCTTTGGAAATTCAATAAATTAAAACATTTCAATGCTAATTGCAGTGCATGCCTAAATAATAATTAATTAATCAACTACTAAATACATAGTTGGATCTACAGCTACAGTAGAATCATAAATTAATCAAACTTCACTGTAAATCTGTGGATTTTTTTTCACTTTTTTATTTTTTTTTCCGTCTCCAGGTAGAGCTGGAGTTAAGAGCCCAAGTCCAGCGTTTTGTAGAACTAACAGGCCATCTGCCTTATCACATGGATGGACACCAGCATGTTCATGTGCTGCCAGGTATTGCATAACGATCTGAACACCCAGGGTTGTTAGAAATGTACCGTCTGCAGGGATCTACTTGATTTCAATCAGCTGGTGGTAAAATGGCGCATTTATAAAGTAGGATTCACAGGAAATGTCTTCTTTAAAAGTATTCAATGGATATAATGAATATAAAGTCAAGCAATCCAATCATATACAGTGTTTCAGGTTTGAATTCATACTTTGTTTTTCAGTCCTATTTAGAAAGTTAAGTATTCAAATGAGTCAAATGTTTTCTGCCCAAAGACACACTGTTAATGCTACCGATTGACTGTATTTGCAGCTATAATTCCTCCTGAACTAGAGTGATGTGATAATAAATATTTCATAGCATTAGCAGCTATCTGTCATACATCAAAGATCAGAATCAAGCTTTTATTGGCAAATATTCACTGAGGAAAGTGACGCACCACACTTCTGTGTTCCTGGGATCAGCTACGATATCACCCACTTCCTGTTGCACGCTCAGGATCTCCATCACATATCATGCTTTACCGCTGCAGGACATTGGCAGCATCACAGCATAAATCCCGGACTCCTTCTGCATGGACAACCCTGTGTCCCCCATGAGGTTTGTTTCTCAAGTAACGAGCCCCAGGACAACCATGGTATAACTGTTCACCTCCAGGAGAAGAAGAAAGCCTCTAGATGAGGAAACTAGGAGGAGCTTAGAGCTCTTTAAAAGAACCTGCCTGTGCAAAGTCTCAGTAATCTGGGTCATTATTGAGTTGGGGCGACATGGTGTCCCAGACATTCCACCTCAAAATGCAGGACTTCAGAGAGGCTAAATTTGAAGTAAAGAGGATACTG